GGCATCATTATTTTTTCTAGGATTAGAGTTAAATATAATCATTTGCTCTTATCATGTGCCTTTACCTCTCTTTCTCCAAACACTTATTTCATAATTATGTTTGTCAAGTTGTTAAGGGTAATGACCCCACCCTATTTTATCATCAAGGAGGGGGGAAAAAAGACCAAAACAAAACAGATGTTCTAAAATCTGCAGGAAATTGTCTTTGTCAGAATCACTGAATACATGATTTTTGACTTGGACGGTATCTATACAATTGAAATAGAAAAAATGCAGAGCCCGACTGTGGGTCTCTTTGTGGCTGCTTCTTCCAATTTATCTAAATTTACTGATCCTGAGTGGATAAATGAGTCAAGTTAATTAATGAAAATGGCTGAAATGATCAGTTCACGCATACAGTTTGTAGACTCACTACATAAATCTGTGCAAACAGAGGTCGATTCAGATTGCTGCTGTAGCCACTAAGCTGTGGTCTTTTTCATTTGAATGCAGGCATATTTGAATATTTGCAGTGGTGGATGGGGTGGGTAGATGCATCTTGCTTAACAATTTCTGCATATGAAATCAACGGGAACATTTTTTAAAGTTCATTTTAAAAACCAGTAAAACACACAACACCAGACATTTAAGAAAAATAATTTACCAGCTCAGGAATGTTCATGCTATATAAATACACTAATGTCAACAAAATAAGGCACCAAATTAGAAACCTAAGCTTGAACAGTTATTGCATGAGGCAAGACTAGGAGCAAGAATGGGGAAGGAGACAAGAAGCATTTCAGTTAGAGATATTTACCTGTGGTTTAGCATCTTGTTAGAGGCCTACAACAGAAAGGCTGGCCCAGGGCAAGGCAATTTCACCCTCTCTGGTGTCAATCTTCCTTCATATCCCTTTCCTTTCTCATTTTCCCCCTTCCCTTACCTGACACTCTACTGATGGCCAAGGAAATAAGAGGCAAATGTTTGAATCCTTTTTAGACCATGGCTCCTTTGATCTTTAATTGTAAAGCCAAATGTGAATTAGTTGCCCAGGGTTTCTAAAATGTGCTGCCTCTAATATATAGAAAACTTTTGATTTTATCACCTCCCTACCTGCAGCCATCCTTCTCACCCTAACTCTCTTAGAAAAGCTCTTCAAGTACAGGAAACAGAGAGATCCACAGATGTCCTCTGAAATGTTTTCATTTTTTTACATGCTAATCTGATATTTTATCCTTTTGTTATTTAATACATTAAGTTTATTGATCATATTATAATGAAATGTTTGGGGATGTTTTTGTTGTTGTTGACAGCCTTTGAGTGTACAGAAGTCAAAAAAATATGAAAGACAAACAGAAAAAGAAGAAAGAGAAATTAATGGTGAAATAGTCATATTGATTAATTAATAAAGGATAAACTAACAGAAAAGCAGAAAGAGAAGTTCATAATTGTGCACACTGAAAGTTAACTTTGGGTAAACCTATGTACAGAATTAAAACAATTTTTATATTTAATAAAATTTTAAAATATATTGACTTCCCTCAACACTTGCCATTTGGCCTATGTAAAGAATTTTTTCAAAAATCTGTAACTATTATATATTCATGTCAGAATAAAATTTTAATATATTACTATTAGTTTTCAAAGATTTATGTATCTACATTTAAGAGGTTTCTGCAGAACATTCTTTTTGCTTCATCACACACTTCCCAGTGTTTACACATGCACATTCAGTCTTGAATGATGACTCATTAACTATCAATGGGTCCTGGCATTCTAGGACTTCCCAGTTGTTAGCTCAGTGTATTCTTTACTAAATCGTTTAATGAAAACACTGACATGTATAATGAATCTGGCACCTCCCATGATACACATGCAACTTTTGTAATAATAATAAGACACACATTTGCACAATTACATAAAATACTGCGACTTGAAAATGTGGAGGCTGGGC